GGAGCAGTGGGCAGTCATTTTTGCTGTGGCGCCGGGGGAGCGATTGGGGGTTAGGTGCTTTGCCCAAGGGCACTTCAGTCATTTCCTGTGGGCATTGAGAATCGAACCCTCAACCTTCTGGTTACCAATCTGACTCTCAAACCATAAGGCCACGACTGCCCCGTACAGGCAGCTTTATTGATTATAACAGAACTTTGTGAGATTGCATCATCGCTATGAACTAAGATGAGTGACAGCTTTTTAGCAATTTTATAGGGACCGCTCTTTGTCTGCTTTCTAGGTGATATATAATCAGTTCAGAAAATATTTTGTTTTTCATGCTTGATCAGCGGCCACGTACATGCTGCAAAGTTTTGTGAGTGACATCTGCTATTTTTTTTTTATATTTGAACGATTATTATTGTCATGTATGTGTGATTGTTCTCCTTTCCCACAAAAAAAATATTTTGTGTCATTTGATTGGGTGGACCAGCTGTCAATCTGAGTGGGCCAGTGCCACCCTGCCCCTTATATAGCCTCGCCATCGGATAGGACTGTCTGCTTAAAGTAACACTATGTAGTTTTTCAACCTTCATAATATATTTCCAAGACCCTTGTGATGGTACATCGACTTACAATAGGTTAAATGACACGTCTGCCATAGCCTGACGTGGTCTGTATTGCTTTTACTCGCACTATGTAACTTCAGGTTTCGGGTAGTAACCGAAGCACAAAAAGAACTACAAAATTCGACTGCTTTACGGCATACGTCACTTCCCCCACCATTTCCTCAAATTGTCTGTGGCCGTTGTTGATTCCAAAGCCGGTGCTGGATAAACAGCGAGCGTGCGTGTGCGACAGTAGGCTGCGGTAGGCTAAATTATTCACGACAGCGGTAATGGACAATTCCGCTCCCAACCTGTAGGGCGACCGCAGAGGAAAAGTTCCTTGGTGTTGCTTTAATATCTGCAAACACTTTATTTTGATGCTCCCAACAGACATTCTACTGACTATAAGTAGCTTTGCAGCTACATGTCAACTTATTCTACTAACCTGGACCCTAACAGTCTACTAATACTTAACTGAGTTAGTTGACACAGTTGAAAATGTACTTATAGTTAGTAGAATGTCTAAAGTGGACACTCGAAATAAAGTGTAACCAGAAAAATGAGCGTCATTGAAAATTGTGGAAAACGTTTTTAAATGATGCTGCAAGCCAATTATTAATCAAACTCAATGAAACGACTCTCAGCTCTGACAGCATATTAATGAGGATTAAATCAGAAACACTATTAAATACTCATAGGTCATGACACAAGAAGCCACAGGATTAATTAGGAAACGCAATGGCCAAATAAAAAAACATTCACAATCTTGGTTCATTTTATATTGACAAAAAATATTACTAAATATAAATATTTGAATTGTTAATAAAAGGCTTTGATGCCCTCTGCAAGGTCAAGTGCCAGCTGCACCGTGGCCAACTTCTCTGCCCGTCAATACACACAAAGCTGACGAGAGACACACACACATCGTTTAATGCCACCCTTGGCTGAATTTCAATGAAGCGTCCACAAGACTGAGCAAACAGAGACAGACCATGTGCAAAGACTAATGAAGCCAATGATCACTTTTGCGTCGCCAGGTACCGCGTACAGTAAGACAATTCTGATTTATGACATGGTGCATTAGAAAGAATATTGATTTCACCTTTTGTCTCTCTCTCTCCTACTCTTTTACCGGCAAAGATTGATGTCACTGCATTGATTCCCAATCAATCAATTTATTTTCATTTTATTAATGCCTGAGCAATTGCTCAATGTCCTTATGAAAAGCAATGCATCTCAATTACATGCACCTGGTAAAATAAATTGTTTAGGGGCGATTTGCTGAATTACAATTGGTTTTTTCACGAGTTTGCCAAGTTATTGGACGCTCAAATTGGTAATTGTCTATCGCCATACAAAGTGCATTAAATAAGTCAGCGAGGGTTATGAACACCAAATTACCTGCCTATACTTGTGCTTTCATATGGCACATTGGACAAGGTGAGCACAAATGCAGACACTCAATGTCTTTTGTTTGTAACCACGAACAAAACAGGCATTGATAGTATTGCTGTCACTTTGGGGACTCTGCGGAAAGAATGAACAGGTTTGGCACACGTCCAGTTTTAATAAAACACAGCTATTGGTGTGCGTTTCCTCGCTTCAGCAAATCCAATTGGAAAAGCTTGGCCTGTTCCATGTCTGCGCTGTATTAAGGCTAATTAGTGTCTCAGTCTATTTGCATAGCGACTAGTTTCCGGCCATTCTCTGTCCGCTGACCCGTGCGAGCAGTATCAACTTTTCCTGAAAAGAACGGCCAATAATTGTTTTCGCACGCATCAAGGGATGGGTACTCGCGGGATAAATGGCCTTCTATACGGCACATCGCTTAGAAGGGAAAAAGAACAACCTGCAACAACTTACTGATTGTACTGACATTGATGTATTAAAATGGACCCTGTGCGTAATTGCTCTTTCCTGTGGCTACTGTGCGGGGAGGGTTGCATAATGATGATAGAGTTTAGAACCTTGCTAAAAGAGATAAAGGCTGCCAGGACCCACCGCAGAGTATTTTCTGGACACTTCCTTAATGAAACATCCCGCTGGATAATGCGCTCAGGTGATACAAATGGGGATGACAAGACCGTCAAGTGGCAACTTTCCGTTTTGGATTGTTTTGTTGTCGCGCAACATTGATGCTATGTTGTCGCTTGGTTTATTAGTCGATAGCTATGGGTATTGAGACTCCAAAGGTTGTCACTCACTCTAATGCACACTGGGTACCGGGTCACATGACTCTCACTTCAGAGATTCTGTTTGGTCTCGGTTATGACAGCACAAACGTTCAGATCAGCTTAACACAGGGCGGTGTAAAGCATGACATTAAGACGCTCTGTTAAACTGCAACTCATTGTCGCAGTTCAATTTCAATGGGTTTAAAAGGACAGACGCTGAGGTCCAGAGTGACAGACTGTCCTCAATGGCACTCTTTCAGTTCAAAAGCAGGCTGGACAAAGCCATTGTCCGCAATGTCTGACCTTTGGCAATGATTAACAGTTGCACCACTTCCCCTCTGACAAGCAGCTCAAAAATTCCTTGAAATGACTATCATAGCCAGGCTCTGCAGCTCCAAAGACACCACCATATGACTGAATCAGATGCTACGAGTTACAAATATGGCCCCAGCTGAGAGCTACAATAGGGACTCAGTTCTCCAGAGGTTAGCACCAGACTATACTGTGGTGCTGGACAATGGCTCTCTGTTCTGGAAATGTTGTTTGTAACATCTCTACTGAACTCAAAGGATTGGGAGGCCAGATCAGCGTGTAAATTAACTTTACCCGCATGTCTTCTGCAAGCCATTAAAGCGATATCTCTCAATTTTAAAGCCATTCCAGAGGATTAAGTGATTACATTGAGAGTAGTGAATCGCTAGTGTTAAAAAAGACAAACGATAGACAAATCAGTCATCCAAATCAATTATCCATTCATTGAACGTGGAAAATACCCATGTGTGTCTATGATTTTGAGCATGAAAAACAAGAGATCTCACTAAAGAATACTATAGAGTAAAATCTGTGTGATGGTTATTAGTTTTGATTTGCTTTACACTGAAAGACACCTTCAGTTTTGCAATTCAATGATTCACTTTGTAAAAAGCGACTATACAAACCAGGTTAAAGTGAATGAATCCCTACAAATTCCATGCCACGGTTTGGAATACCATACTACTCGTATTACTTAAATAGTATGCAGCGTTAAGTTTAAGTTAAGTAAAGTTCAAGTTTACTGTATGCTTAGAATACTGCTGTAATTTCCAAAATGTGCATTATAAAAAAACTGCACAAAATACGGCATTCCACAATGCAATAAGCTCCACTCTTCATTTCAGTTGATGAATGAACACGAAGTCATACCAGTCACAGTTTAGTTAAGGTACATATCGTACTTTTGGAGCACTATTTGACTCAAGTAAGTATTTTTAAACTTGAAACCATTGCCATATTTTGCCTACTAAATAAGAAGTTATGTTAGGGCCGGGTAACCAAACAGACAGATTAGGTTCATCAAACACCAGTTAGTCCAGACAAACCACAAACAAGTAGCTATATAAAGAGTGGACACAAGTCAACGGGCAGTGCTGTCCTTACTAGGCTGTTAACTGACCAGAATGACCACGTTCTTCACGTCTGAGTCATGCGCAATGTGACTAGCCAAATTTCACTCTTTTATCTGCAACTACAGCAACCTAAGAGCTTTCTGTTTAAAGAGCTTTTGTTTATTTGATTATCCAATGTAGGCTATCCTCAAATGGAAAATAAGTCAAACAAAATGTGTTATTTGTATGTATGTACATTTTTTTATGTACAATGTATGTACAAACAAAGTAATATCAACAAGCATACACAATGTTTGACAGACAGTGTAACTATAAGTCTAGACATTTTCAGAAACTCTTTTTAAAATAAGCCAACAAGGCAGAGACATTTTATTGCAATGTAGTTCACTGATATGAAGTAATATAGGGACACTTTATTTGTGGTATTCAAAAAATGCTTGGAACTTCTCCAAAGCCATAGTTTTGTTTTGAAGTGGTTACTCTAGAGAGCTTAAAACAGGCAACACGGAAAAAGAACGTATTTCAACACTAAAGTTCTCTAGGAGAATCAACCGATTGCACACAGCGCTCGCTCTGGCCAAACGAGTGCGTGTGTGACTCTCCGTCGTCAAGAAACAGAAACGAAGTGGGCTCGAGCTCAGAGCCTTTATATACGCTTCTAAAAATAACGTCCAATCAGCGCGCTGGACCTTACGGTTGAATAAAACCAATCACAGCGCAAGGAGGGCGGACGTATTCCTGCGATTGGCTCTAGGTGATATCATTTGCGCCCGCGCAACCTGGTCGCATTTGATTGGACGCGTTGTGAGGCGACGTCACGTTGTCACGAGGGGGTAGGCAGGCTGCGAGGTTTGAATAGGGGAAGTTGACAGAGCACAGCGCTTTGCGTGAGTTCAGTGTTTGCAAATATAGAGTGATCTCAACAGACGGACTAGCGGACTCTGAGCAAAGCGACGGCTGCACCGCGTTGCTATTGCACGAAGAGGACGCTTTCTTATTACACTTTATCTTGATTCAACAAGATATATATATTTTTTGTCTTTTATCGCCTAATACTTGGGATTGCAATGGATGTTCTACCAATGTGCAGCATTTTTCAGGAACTTCAGATCGTTCATGACACTGGCTATTTCTCTGCATTGCCATCGCTTGAAGAATACTGGCAACAGGTAACAATTTTAAAGTGATATGGATCAAACTTCAATTGGCGAATGGACAGCGTGTGGTTTGACTTCGCTGTCTTTAAACTGGAATCGGAAAGAGTTATTTACAATCCGCGAAGCGCTGCGCTGAATGAAACATTCTAACGTTCTAAGTGACGTATTTGATTCGGTTACATGGTCGCGCGGTAAAAGCTGTCAATCAACTCGTATAGAATGTAGCTGTGCATCTACCTTATGATATTCGCTTGTTTTGGATTACAAAGTATTTGTTTTACTTTTTTGAAGAGTCGCGATTTGTGAGTCAGATGATCTATATTGCTCAATAATCAGGAATACGCACCATTTAGTAAGGAAAATAACTGCATCCTTTTCGGGTGCTTTTCCTACTCAAACGTAGACTGGTTGATTTGACAGTCTGCAGCACATGTTCTGTCACATAACGGGGTTTATAGGAGGTGCGTATATTAACTGTCATAGCAGGTTCTGCTGCTTGAGACTGATATACTTGTGATTGAACAGTTGGCACGATCGCGTGAATGTTTCTCTTGAAATTGAGCCAGGTAGTTTCCCCTCAGGCGTCTTGGGATTCTGGCATGGAGTCATATGAGCGTATCTCTGGGCATTTAAACATGCGTTTACATCTAGTTGCCTAATGTTTCCCAGCATAGACTGCTGACTGGATAGTTCAGCTGAAATGAAACTCTGTCGTCATTTCCTCACCAATCACCATTATGTTCTTTCAAACATGTATCACTATTTATCTCTTGGAAAACAAAAAGATATGTAAGGCAGGAGGTTAGCCTAGTGACTGACAGCTTCAGTCACCATTCACTTTCATTGCATCTTTTTCCATACAACACAAGTGAATGGTGACTGAGACTGTTATTCTTCCTAACGTTTCGTAGAAACGGACTAACGTTGAATAAACAACTATTGCTTTAAAAAGTAAACATTTAGGGGGGTTTACCTGATATAGAGTCTGTAGAATCAGTAACATTAGATTTTTTAGGACAAATTTACGCGGTAAACATCATCGTTGTTATAGAGGACATAGCCTAAACCGCACAGCTAAAAGCTCATATTGAGTGGAAAAACACAGTTTTACGTGTTTACTGAATCACTTTTGCACTCGAATGCAGTACGTTCGCACTTAATACGCGTTAAAATGCTTTTAAAACGCGTCCAGATGTACGCTGAGGGACGTCAGGCTGTTTGAATGAGGAAACTCGACCGAGGAAGTTGTGTGGCTTCCTTAAAAGGACTCTGAAATGTGTTCATGACTCACTAGGGGATAACTGTTCTAGAAAGACAATATACAGCCCTATTTATACCCAGAATACTCTGATAACTGATTTTATTGGCCTTACGTATTCTGTAATGTTTCTTTTCACATGACACAAATGTACATATTTCTGTAGAAAGTGTGTGAAAGTGCAGGTGAGACTCGTGTGGTTAACCTACATTAACCCTTGACAGTCAGCTGTGAAAGTTAGAGGAAACTCATGCACGTTCTAACGTTGTGTTTTCTGTTTTGAATCAGACATGTTTGGAGCTGGAGAGATATTTGCAGAGCGAGCCGTACGTCTCTGCGTCTGACCTCAAGTTTGAGGGCCAGGAGGATCTTTGGAGCAAGCTCATCTTGGCTTGTGGAGATAAGGGAGATGGGAACGGCAACCTTCCCAAAGTCAAGGAAGAGGACAATCAGGACTGCCAAATATTAGAAACCAACAGCATGAATTCGGATGCCAGCAGTGAGGCGTCTGACAGCTCGGAGGAGCTCTCGCCCACTCACATCTTTACCTCCAACCCGCTGGGCTCGGTTCTGACGGAGTCAGCACATCACTTGAGTTCCTCTATCATCAGCACGCCTCCGTCCTCCCCAGAAACCCCGCAGGAGCCCGGCGTCCCGCAGGTGTGGGGCTCCACGCAGACTGACTCGCACGTGCCGGTGAAGATCCGGCAAAACGGACTGGGGAAGGCCTCGGATAAGGCTTCGGCAGGAGGGGACGCCTCTCCGGACGGCAGGAGGAGAGTGCACAGGTGTCACTTCAACGGATGCCGGAAGGTTTACACAAAGAGTTCTCACTTAAAAGCACATCAGCGGACTCACACAGGTAAGAAACCTTTGCTTTTAGTTGTGACATTGCAAATTGACACCGTATCAAAGCAAATATAGAGGAACTTCCCACACTTTACTGAGGTTTCACGTCTCCTGTGAAGTTGTGTAATGGAGTTGAGTTCACACAGGCTGTCCTCAGCTGCAAGGCTAATGTCACTCTGTGAATATTTGCCCCGCATGACTGCACGCCTAAACGGTGACCTAATCTGTTTGGAATGTGGCCGTGGAGAGGAAGGAGGGGGGATCGGATGGGGGAGGGGATGAAAACCAGCCAGGGTGAAAACAACCTGCTCTACCAAAACAGTTTTGGTTTCGTCATGGGAAAGAACCAGGCTTTGAATGGGGATCTGGGTGGCCCCTTTTTTTAAAGGGCCCCGTCGCATTCAAAACAGACTCTGTGTGACACGCATTGTTCTGCATGCTGTTTATGCGTATACAGCATAGAGACAGACTTTTGGCATACCGTGCATTCCCGCAATCCTTGAGAGCTTGAGGGATCTTATTAAAAGTCTCATAGACTGCGTCACCTGATACATAAACATGCATCCTGTTTACTGATGCATTACCGAGCTCGCTATTCCACATTCCTGTGAATAGTGAATGTTTTCCTGCTGAAACCTGGCAAAATGTACTGAAAGGTGTTTGTGTTTTTGTTTACAGGTGAGAAGCCGTACAGGTGTTCATGGGAAGGCTGCGAGTGGCGCTTCGCGAGGAGCGACGAGCTAACCCGACACTTCAGGAAGCACACCGGTGCAAAGCCATTTAAATGCAGTCACTGTGACAGGTACGTTCAGTTCGCCCTCGCTATCTCTCCCTGTGACAGTCAAAGCCTGTCTGTCTCTCTCGCCCGCATGCCTGATCCTTTGATGCATGTATCAGTGAAATGCGACGGATTTCTGCATTCGGCATTGATCCTGTTTTATCGGTTCATCGATGGGAGTCGCCCCATTATGTTTGGGTTTTATCACTTAATTACCTAATCACATTAAATGCTTGAAAGCGCAATAGTCACACTGTCGCAATACATTATTGATATTCTCTGCGTTTTATGACTAAACGCGCCTCTCCTGTTTGTCATCACTTCCTCTGTTAATCATTTCCCTCCCTGAGAGCTTTGTGCTTTGAACACAATTGTTTGCTCAACTTCCCTTTTTGCTGTGTTGTTTCTGTAGTTACTGGATGCGAAACATTTCATAGTTCTCCCTTAAAACAAACCATTCGATCAAGTCTTCGCTCATTTCCAGGCCCACACTGAACCTGCCAATATTTAATTTTAATTCATGTATTATATTGTCCCACACGGTACATATGTGTATGTGTGTGTGTGTATATATACTGTATATATATATATATATATATACACACACACACACACATCCCTTTTTATATACAGTAGTCAACATTTAAAGTGGATATATATATATATACATATATATTGTGTATAATGTATAAAACATTTGAAGTGGATCAAAAAAGTTAATCAAAGTTGTCCTAAGACAAGAATGGGTATTGTTCAAAATTCATGTATAACTTTGATGAAAGGTTTTGATCCACTTTAAATGTTGACTACTGTATATATAAAAAGGGATGTATGTATGTATATATATATATATATATATATATATATATATATATATATATATATATATATATATATATATATATATATATATATATATATATTAGTTACATGAAATTGAAAAAGCATTTCATTATACATTCTTTAAAAAAACTTTGTTGATGGAAAAAAATTTTTTTTAGAAAATAATTATATTTATAGTAATATTTAGAATTTTTTACAGCTATAGTGTCACTCTTTGACAGCTTTAAACTGAAATGATGGCATATGGTGTATTAAAAAAACAACTACATTTTAATCCTTATATTTATTTTTAAATAAGCACCGAAAATCCAAATTCTTTCTGGTTCTACTTGTAACCAAGCTTTCCTTTCATTAGCCTTCATGGCACCTATTCCAGTTTCACAAGTTCGCCTCAAGGGTCACTAGGGGCCTCATCAGTGATGCAATGCACAGATCTCTACCTTTCATCACACTTTATGGCTTCGGTGGCCCCTGCCTGACCTTGTTTTTCACCTTTTCTCTCGCTGTTTCTTTCTCCAGGTGTTTCTCCAGGTCGGACCACCTAGCCCTGCACATGAAGAGGCACCTCTGAGCGGGCCGTAGCTTCACGCTGGGGATATGTTGTGTCCTGACCAGCTTCCTGGTTGACCTGGCCCTGCAAGAAATGGGGGGGGAGTGTGTTCCAGCCAAAGCATGCCATTTTGCACCATATCCTGTGCCTCCGTGAGCCCCGGGATAAAGGCGGACTGACTGGTTGTTGAAACGGAAAAGGAATGGACAAAATCACGTATGAAGAATTGAAGAGAGGAGGATGATTTATTTAAAAAACAAAAAAAATTTGTACAAAAAAAACGAGCGAATGAATGGTGTGTTGTATGGTGCATGATGTTTTGGGACAACTCCTGGACTATACACTGGTACTTTAAAACAAATCCTAACGAAACCTGTTTGACGTGAGCGGATGAATGTCCCGTGTGCGAAGAAGGGTGGGAGGGGGGTACCAGTGTATCACTGTGGGCTGAATGGTGTCGGGAAACAAGTTCCATTTGTGTTTCCACACGGTATGCGAGAACGGCAAAGTCTGAATGAAGCCGTGAGACTGAGAACTCCTGCCAGACGCCCCCGGGCTCTTTCGCAAGATTGCGGGGGGGGGCGAAGCGGCCAGGGTTTCACCCCCTTCCCCCATCTAAAGGGGGGCGGAAACTCGGTCCTGAATGAAAGTGGCTTTTTTGGTGTTCGGTGCAGCTACTAAATGTGCAATGTGTTCGGTAGCTTGTTTTTTTTTGACAGGCTACAAAAGCTCATTTGTAGTCTGTTGTATAAGCTGTGTGCTTAGAGATGTAACACAATTATAACTTCACTATCATAAACAGGTGTTGCATGGTATTGGGGTTTGTACTTTTTTCTTTTTTTTTTTTTGTAATTGGGACTGAAAATAGATTCCAATAAAGTGCAGCTAAATACAATTGGTTAAATGTTACAATATTGTACATAAACGCATTGATCATTCTTCACTCAAAATTCCCTCTCTTTTTTTTTTTTCCGGTGGAGGGAAGAATACTATCAATCAGTGACCATTTCATACAAGACTCATTTCATCTTGAGGACTAAATTCTCTCTTTCTATCTCCATTTTACCTGATGTTAATGCACTGTTGGCCTTAATGGTGCCTTATGCAAGTGACCTTTCCAATTGGGGGTCACAAAATGTCTTGTATAATTGATTGAAAAAGCTTTATTAAGGCTCTGTTTCACATGAACATGCACCTTTCCCATTTCCAAGGCCACTGTAACCAAGCCCTTGTAGATACGTAATATATTGTTCTTCTTGAGCATGCGATTTCATTCTTTGTCAGTAATATTTGCCCTCACATTTCTGGATGCTGTCAAATCTGCAATGTAGAGCACTTAAAGTCACGGACTTGGCATCTACCGAACGTCCTTTTTAGACGCAAGATCTCTATCTGTGGAGCTGTGTGCGAGACAAAAAGCTCTTAAAGTGGGAAAACAGGCCGTTGTATAACACAAGGCTTGAACGTTTGTGGAATGCCAACTCCCCCCGTCCCCTGTAACCAAGAATAAAGAAAAAAACGCCTAAAGATTTATTGTAATTAACAAGCTCCAGTCAGACAGGCCTTGCCTTGTACTGCCTCTCTGTAATGAATTGCTGAAGGCCCTGCCTGCTATAGACTGCTGACTCGGGCAGTTCGATATTGACCTGTCTGGGTGCCGTTGTTTTAGTCCAGCGACAGTATTGTGGAAACAGTGCACAGCCATCCAGAAAGATAAAGATATAGCGCACACCTTTTCAACATTTACAATGGATATATTTACGGACGTGGAGGCAAACGCCGCTCGGTCGGCTTCTTTTGCCATTTGAAATGTAAACTATAATGTTTTCAGGGACCAAACGATTGATTAAATTTATTGTACATAGTTATATGCTTTGAATTCTTTGAGTATTGTGCTTTTTATAAGTGCCATGCTCTGGTTTGATGAGCGATGAAGGTTTGACACTGTTGCATGTTGAGCAGCTTCGTAGAAACGGATCGTTTCAGCAGGAGAAATGTAACTTGAAGCAGCTTGTGCTGCCATTAAATCAGACCAGCCAGGGTTTTGTGGGCAAAGAACATTGTGTCTTTCCAACAGTGGCCAATATTAGTCAAGTGGTAATGGAGCCTTAATCAAGTTTTCCATTTGCTTGCTTCTACCAACACTTTCTATCACTTATGTTTTCTCTCACGAGTCCCTCTTGTCTAAAGACTATTTGTACAAAAGAATAAAACCAGAAAAGTTAGGACGAAAAACACAGAAAAAAAAAAAAAAACTTTTCTAAGATTTTTATTTGTTTTTTGCTTTATATGAATTTTATTTGAAATTGTTTTGCAAAATTGTTATATTTCTGTATGAATGTATTTTTTATTGGAATAATAAGAAATTCTTATCGGACAAGTTTGATTTGTTGTTTTGCTTCACTTTATTTCATTAGTGTGTTAGACTTTGCGAGACCAACTTCTAGCTAGTGATTTATAAATGATGTTTCACTGTTATTGGTGCTTGGCAGAGTTGAACAAAACAACTACACCCGAGTATTCAACTTTGTTTTGGGGTACAGACATTAAAGATATCTTAAATTGAGCTTTAATAAGGAGTCAGACTTACGATTACCTTGGTGAATAAAGCGGGTGGAAAATCCCATAGAGAAGTAAAGGGCCTTTGACTCAATTGGACCAGTAGGCGACCAATCAGAACACTTAAACTACACTAAAAACAGCTTCACAACTACGCCGCAATATACAGACTGTGTCTGAAATTTCAAGTAATCACTTCACGACCGCTTATAGAATATGTTCTATATAGTATGAATGTTATCTGGAAGTACTACTGTATATTCGCCATGTTGCCCTTATCACGTGACCTACCAGCGTCGCGTCACTGCCAGTCACAAATCCTCTCCCGTGGCCTCATGGGATAGTAACTTGGTAATCATATGCACACTTTTGTCACATACTGTTTTGTGCCTACTATATAGTAGGGAATATGCGATTTCGGATGCAGCCTTTGACTTTGTAACAGTAATGTTTACGCCAACAAGCAGTCAAGCACTAACATTTTTGTTTTCACTTTATTTTGATGGTCCCTTTAACATTCTTTTGACTATAAGTAACATTGCACTCACATGTCTACTAACTCTCAGAGTATTAGTGGAGTATTAGTAGACTGGTAGGGTTAGGGTTAGAATAAGTTGACATGCAAACTCACTTATAGTCAGTCGAATGTCTGTTGGAGGACCATCACAATAAAGTGTTAGCAGATATTAAGGAGTCTAATACTATAATGAGAGTAAGTTGACACACAGGTGCAAAGTTACTTCTAGTCAACAGAATATTCAAAAGGGACCATCAAAATAAAGTGTTACCACATTTTCTTCAGGAAGTCTTTAATATAAACATGCAGTGGATTAAAAAGACGTATCTTTTTAAATGACCTAATATTCACAAAACATTATTAATGGCGGTTTCCTGCATTGGCATTGCAACACTCGTTCTCATAGATTCCTGGCTCTCATTATATGTTGTGCACAAGTTGGTCTCAACACCCACTGGAGGGGTGTTCCACAGGCTTGTCAAAATAGACGAATGTGTTCTCACAGAAAAACATTGCAAATTGCCGCCTTTGTGAATTGCTAAAGGGGGAAACATGCCCTGGGTGATTCCTGGCAGGTGGAGCGATGAAATGTTTTGCTATGGATTTGTTGGCTTTTCTAAACGTTTAAAAATGGCCATTTATCTGTTTACTTCTCGCCATCGTGTTCCAGATGTATCCCTCTCGTAATCACAATGTGATTTACGCACTTTTATAGTTGTGATTATTAATGATTGTAATAAAATTAACTGGATATAAATGAAGCGGTTTGGAGAATGGATGGATCGATATAAATAATGCTACTCGTTAAACAGTAGACAAGTAGATTACTGCTAATTTAATTAATTAAAAAATATATATATTGAGTGGGATCAAATAAAAATATGAAACTATTAGGAATATAGCCATTTTTTTACTATTAAAAAGTCATTGCAAAATATACTATATTTGAATAAATATCAGTACTTGAACTGACATTGCTTTTACCAATATTGATAATTGTTTGTATCATAATCTTACAATGTTCCAAAGAGCATCTTGGTTTCAATGGAAGAATTTAATGTGACCGCCGTCGGTACAAAGTTCACATGAGTTTACAGGGTCAAAGTCACCAATTTGTTGATCTGATTAGTGGCCTATAAATAGTGCAGAATCTGAAAAATATCTCTGATAAAAAACATTATTTCCAGGTTTAAATGAATAAAAAAAAAATTCTCATCTTTTCACTGTGGATTCTGGACTCCGTTACCTGTCATTTCATCCAGACAGCTTATTTTCTTAAGAGAAGTTACGCAACATGCCGGTTCACCAAGGGTGAAGATCGTGGGAAACTTGTTGCATTACATAACTCAATTACAGCCACGCCTCTGATAGAACAACAGTAGTTGTCCACGTTTCTCAGTGCTATGCTGATGTCGACGCTACAACACTGAGAACTTGCTCATTATTCTGTGTAGCTGACAGATCCTAAAGTGGAAGCAATTATATGCAGCCTCGGAAAGTCACATGGTGACATCAATCCTTTAAAGGTCAAGTGCCCCCAAATCCATCATTAAATTTAACTGAAGGATCTTTGTGATGTTTAAAAGCGAAGATCAATGCTTCGAAAGATCTATATTTATGTACGCCATTGTTTAATATGCCTTTAATAGCCATAAAATTAGAAGGGCAGTTGAGGAACATGCTCAGAGAACCAAACGTTTGATGTGACGTATCAGTCGGGATGTGTGCGTGCTTTTCCACGTTTAACCTGGGGATACCCCTAATCCGGGATTACCATATCTAGATAAATTACACTAGCATATGACACATGCCCTGCCTTGATGTACATGTATGCTCTTGCAGCTCATCATAATTCACAATGCGAATTTGTCGGTATTCATATAACATGTGCATGTGCATTTATGGTGTTTGGAATGGGGATAGTTCACCTAAAAATGAAAATTCCTTGATCAGTTCCTCATTCCAAACCTGTAAGACTTTCTTTACTCAGTGAAACCCAAAAGAAGAGGTTTTTAAAAATGTCCTTTCAATGAATGTCAATGGGGTCAAAAAATCCTCTTTAGTGTTTCGCGAAACAAAGAGGTCAAACAGGTTTGGAACGACATGAGGGTGAGTAAATGATGAACTTTTTTTTTTTTTTTTTTGCCCTTTTAACACTTTCACGGTTTATGTTTTAGATGCCAATATGTTGATATTGCTCAGATCCAACTATCTGTACTAAATACTAATGAGAACACATCGCTGAACTACCTTGAACTTTGCATGCAGAGCAAAGTCAGCAGTCTTACTGCATTTTGTGCTTTCTTGAAAGATTCCAAAGGCAATGTATTGTCAGGCGAGCTGAAATTAAAAGCAATGTCACGACATCAAAGGCTTCCGTTGCCAGCGGGTGAAAGTGTGAAACCGTGAGCTGTTTGAAGCCAATGGGGTTGAAGGAGAATATTCAAAGAAAGACACTGTAGCTTGGTTTAGAAAAAGGAATAATTATTAGTAGTACCTGAAAAGGCAAGCATCACTTTTACTACAGCTCATATATGGTTAGTCATTTGAATAACTGGTAACTATGTTGGCTTGAGAAATTAAAGACTAAAACTAAAACTAAAACTTCTGACTAAACTTCTTCAAGCTACAACAACCAAACTCGGGTGAGGCCTTCAGACTGTTCTGACTCGCGTTGGTATATCTTTTCTAACTGAACCGACTTTGGGAGTTCTCGTATCGGACTTCAAAACAATCCCAAATTCCCATAGACTTTCATTGAGGGGGTCAAAACTTATACAATAACTGTTAGAAACATGCTAATTCATGCTAGCAAAGTG